AGACAAAAACTTCACAGCACTTTTTCTCTTGTCCCATAAAAATTACATAGAACTCCTGTGTAATTTCACAGGATATCATTCTTCACTACCTGAATTTTTGCAGTCGAATTTCAATGAGAATCATCTATTTGCTACGGTATAAAATATGTACCCAGCATCCCTGTATACTTCTTAATTCTAACATGTCAAGATGTTTAATGTGGCAAAGTCTTTCGTCGCATTCATACGAACGACCATTCCATTTTCATTCACCATATTCATTCACACGAACGACCTCACCTAAATACCTCAATGGCGTGCCATCCTCTTGTCTCACCTATCGCAATGCTTCAATTTGTTTTCATCAATTTCTCTTCTCGTCTTACTCTCCATGTCGCTCAGGCGTGTAAATTATACAAGTGACAATGTATTAAATTACAGCGTCCATCTTTCTTCCATTTCTCTTCTCGTCTTACTCTCCATGTCGCTCAGGCGTGTAAATTATACAAGTGACAATGTATTAAATTACAGCGTCCGTCTGTGCAGGAGCTCTGAATGCGGCCAGCAAGCGCAAGCTGCAGGACAGCGCCGACGGCGCGCTGCTGCAGGACAGCAAAAGTGAGTTTTGGGGCCTAGAGGTGTGGACATGAGGGACTTAAGGCGGAAATAAAGGACCTCTGTCATTGAAGACTTCATGGATCAATCAGAACTAAGCAGCAATTTAAAATATCTGATGGTCATTGAAGTATAAGCTCAAGTGATGAAGACTAAGGAACCTAAAGAAAAGTGATGTCAACTTAAGCGATACAGTAAAGTGTGGCCTTCAAAAGAGCGTCTGGGAAGAAGATAAAAAATTAGTGGAATGAGCGCTTCGGATTTATAAGATTTTAATGTTCTGCAATTCATTACCTACCAGTTACCTACCAGTTGAGCAATGCAATCTCCACACTAATAATGACTTTGCCGTCTATGATGGTGGTATCAGTTTCAATTTGATTACCTTCTAATTATTTAGGTAATCTTTAACACTGTTTGGCTCGAGAAATGATCCAGCCTCTGAGACCTGAGGTAAGAGTAACAGTTTCCTGGCTTGGCTTGGTAACAGTTAATATGTGGCAGGGTCTGCGGTGCCGTCCGAGTATCCACGGCAGCTGAAGAAGGCATACAAGGAAATATGGCGCCTGGCCACGCGCTGCCAACTGCTCGACGCCGCCCTCAAGAACAAGTCCTACGTCACCCACCGCTCACGCATCCTCTACCAGGTGACCTAACTACGCCCATCACACCCATTAGTGACGCAACTATATGTTCAACCCAGCACAAAACATTTTGATAATTAAAACCCTCACTTTGCAAAGAAGATAAAGTTCCCAATTTACTCCTGTTTCAAAGTATGGAAAAAATGTTTTCGTGTCTTTTCAGTTAACTTTATATTAACCAATTGTACAATTTACTTCCAATTTTGATGCAATAATTTCACCACTTTCCGCCATCCTTTCCCATTCTCTCGCTAAGAATGAATGTTCAGGTCCAGGCAAAATCCCGACGCGATAAGTATCCTGGATACACACCCGAACAGCCCCTACATCTACATATTTCTAGTGCCAGGCACACTCACAAACTCTGGCAAATATGTGCATGATTTATGAACTAGGGAACGCTGACGTCACGCGTTTGGTTTACAACTAAATTTGCGTAGCCTTTGTTGGAGACTTTTTTTAGTAGTTCATCTTGATTTGTATTTTTTCTCCTAAGCAAGTTTTGTTAAAGACCAGGGAATTAGTTTTATTTATTAGCTTCTTGTTAGTTTTTTCCATAAGTCGTACTAAATTCTTCGTAGGTGTTGGAAGATTGAAAATTAAATTACCGATAGACATTTTTAATATTGAACGACGTTTCGAATGTACAACATTCATTTTCAAGTTAAAGACGCATTGAGTAACGAAATTTGGGTTGACATATGTACGAAATCAAGTAAATTGGATACCATTCAAATAATGCTAAAATTTCGTTTACGTGATACTAC